ACACACACACACACACACACACACAGGCACACGCACACACACTTATATATTTTTTATTTAGGTTTTTAAAAAATATTTCTATTCAATTTTACTAAGAAAAGCTTTTTTTTTACCTACTCCACTTATTCCGACAACTTATTTTGCCATGACTGTCACACCCATTGAAGCTCCATTATTATGCTTAACCGGGTTCACCAAGCACATATATAAAAACTAAATTGAAATAAAATAATTCAGAAATCGTGATGATGCCAAAACCATGAACTCATAACTGCCCAGTAACTTAGCCTGCCCTAAGCTATGCCGATATGCAGAGGTTAGCCAATCAAAACAGAGTCCATTACATAACAGGCAGTTGCAAGCCTCTTAATAAGAGGGTGGAAAATGGCCACGTAAAGCTAAATTACTAAACTGGCACAAACCTATATGTGCAAAATAATTCAATAATTCATAAAACTATATCCCCTTTAAATAAGCCAGAGTTCTCCAGTCTGTGTCTGAAATTCAATTGTAGAACACCAATAGAGTTGCTATTAATTTAGATCTCTTTGGCAGTAGTTTGCCGCCTGAGGGGAGTGATTCTTGTAGCAGGCAGGATGTGAGATGTAAGCACAGCATGTAGTTGCCCTCGCATGACTGTGACGAGCAGTAGAGCGGGGGAAAGGGGTCAGGGACGGGGCAGCCACTCGGTGGTATTACCCCATCTGTCACGGCTGACCAGCGACGCTAAGACAGTGACAGTGAATTAATAAAAAAAGAAGAATAGATCCCTGTAGTAGCCTCTGGCAAGAAACAATATTATCTTGGGTAGGAAGGAAAACAAACAGGAAGGGACCAGAATGGAGATGCATACAGTGTGCGCTAACTCACCTGAAAGCCTCAATGATGTAAGAGGTGACAGCCGCTCCGCCTTCATGTGCGTTTGGTTGCCAGGTCAGGGTCACGCTGTTACGGGTCACATCAGTTACGACGGGCTTCTGGGGTGGACCGGGCAGCTGGTAGGGCTCTGAAACCGGGGGTACAGAGAGACCGCCACTCTCTGTAAAGATAAGATTAGGATATTAGCATGCCGTCTTCATATTGGTCCAAGTTATCATTCCATGAGCTATGGTTCTGTTTGCAGAATCTATCAGAAAACAGTTGCTGTTTCCGTATTAGTCTAGATTTATAGAACATTATAACAGAAATCAATATTGAACAGGAAAAATCTAATCTCAGGTCAGCACTTCTCCATATGCTGACATCTGGTAAATGGAAGCATATATTTGCTGAGCAAACTCACAACAGAAACGGCTTCCTCAGCTGATTATTGCAGTTTAAAGATGATATGATGCAGTTTGTCAAAGATAAGGACACATAAAGGTGATGATGGAGCACTTGTGTGTGTGTGCTTTTACCTTTTACTGTGAGTACACCACTCCAGCTCGTCTCTCCAC